ACCACCGTGAAGAACTACAACAATCCGAGCGAGATTCCAAATTAATGTTCCGGAGAGGAAAAAAATTAGTCGAGAACAATAAAAAAGGATATATGGGCCTTGTTCGGGTCAATTTCGGCCCAATTAAAATCCCAATTAAGTGGTTAAAATTTTATCCTCACGCGCCGTCTTTCGTGAAGTTGGTTTCACGCGCTTTTCGTCTACCGTTTGCCCTAATCGACTCTGATAGAGAAGGCGAAGGAGAGAGAAAATTTCCTCCGATAAGATTCCGTACAATCCGATCGACTTCCCGGCTCCGGATCTCACCGCGACTCGGTTGACTCGTCTTCTTTCCGCCTGGGATTTTGTTTGTTTGTTTGCGATTCGAACCGTGTTGACTCAGTTACGGTGAGTCGATTATCATATCTCTGTTTTTTTCTTGATTTTCCCCATATGCGATCTTCGTGTACGCATAGGTTTTCTTTATAGGTACGATTATCTTATCCTTAACCTGATTGGTTTTATAGATTTAAACGATGGATCCAATGGATATAGTCGGTAAATCTAAAGAAGACGCTTCGCTTCCAAAAGGTTAGTTCTTTCGATTCACTGACTATGAAATTAGCCAATTTTTTCTTTAACTGGTTGTATTGGTAATCTCCTTCACCTTTTAGATTTTGCAAACTATGTTCTCGATGTGTCTGATTCTACTGTTATGGCTCATCTATCATTGAAGGATGTTGAATAGGATTCGTAAACATTTTTTGATATATATGTCGAGATTACATTGAAAACTGCTTAAGGTTTACAGGATTAGAAACTTCATGTTAGTCCGAATTTGTATTCTTGCTAGAGAATAATGTTTTTGCTCTTATGGTTCAGCTACGATGACTAAAATTATAAAGGAGATGTTACCCCCTGATGTCCGCGTTGCTAGAGATGCTCAAGATCTTCTGATTGAGTGTTGTGTAGGTATGATCATGTTCGTTTCTCTACTTCTCCTAGTTCATCCAGTAATGAGATTTTCGCTTGCTCCACATTTTGAAGTCGGGTTTAATCGTAGACGTTTGCTTTGCAGAGTTTATAAACCTTGTTTCGTCGGAATCTAATGACGTTTGTAACAAAGAAGACAAACGGACGATTGCCCCTGAACACGTTCTCAAGGCACTACAGGTTTTGTATTACATGTGACCTTAACGTTTTTTAGTTTAAAAACATAACGTTTTTTTCTAATTAGAAATGAATTTCTGTTTTTGTTATGAATAGGTTCTGGGTTTTGGAGAATACATTGAGGAAGTCTATGCTGCTTATGAGCAACATAAGTATGAAACCATGGTAATAATCCTCTGCTTATTCTCCTACGCTTAAGACCCAGAAGAAGAAACCCGTAACATTAACCGTTGCCTACGTTCTTAACTCTATAGCAGGACACACAGAGGAGCGTGAAATGGAACAGTGGAGCTCAAATGACTGAGGAGGAAGCAGCAGCTGAACAACAACGTATGTTTGCAGAAGCACGAGCAAGAATGAATGGAGGTGTTCCGGTTACTCAACCTGAACATCCAGAAACCGACGAGAGAGGTCTGCAAAGCTAACTGAAACCGTAAGGGTAATCGTTCTTCGAACCGTTAGGCAACCCAAAAAAAAGCATCCTTTTAACATTTCCTTGTAAGTTCAAATGCGTATGTCCTTTGTTTATATGTTCTTAGTCTTGATATAAGTAAGTGTTTTGTGATCTAAAAACACTTGGTGATTCAGATGTAATTAGTAAGCATTTCTTGTTTTGTGTTACTTCTGTCTTGAGTAAACATGGTGGGTCAGTTCTACAGCAAAGCATCCGATTCGATGATTTGACAGAGAGGAATTTGATCCAAATCCTAATGTTTGTAGATTGATCGTTTTATTATCGGTTAGTGTAATTGTACCATTAATGTAAACCAAGATTTGTATCCGTTTCATGGATCTTTATGTTTGTAGATTTCAAAATCTCTTATTTCTGATTCTGAGTACAGTGCGATCAAACTCTCTTGCTTTCTAAATGATCTACACATATAACTGAACAGTTTAATTGTTTAAATAACAAGACAAAATTATGCATTAGATATTTACATGTAATTTACTAGCAGATAAGTTTTGTAAAAAGGTGATGATGAATTATGACATCATTATTAAAGCATATAGAAAAGGCAATGGTGATTCGGGTAAGGGAGAGTCGGAGAAGGGCAATGTACTTGCTAGGAAGGACCATCACCGGAGTGACGTGTCAGTTCGCAGGTAACTGTTTACTCTGCACCCGACAACTAAGAGAATCGGAACAGACCTACTTCATTACATCAGTTTATGACGTCAATAAATCCAAGTCCAACTATATGACTTGCATATGTTTTTTTAAATATAGTAGTAATTGTTATACGTTTGTATTATATGATCGTTATTCTTCTATACAAAGACAAAACCTGTCGAATGTTGTATGCCTCTCAATGGCACGTCACACCAATCTTTATTTTGAGAATATTTCTTACTGAATAGCTACAAAACAAAAGTAAAAACTCATCATTCATGAATAGTTGAATTCATTAAACTTTCTAGTATTAGTCCATACAAGATTATATCAAACATAAAGATTGAATCACAACAATCGATATGAAATTCATCTGCTTTATGCCCGATAAATTACTGGGACAAAGACTCGATCTTCGTGATATAAACACAATTACGTTGCAACCAAGAAACCATCAAATCCGATTAACCTCGAGTCTTGTTAGCCGAAGTTGCTAGTTTGATCGGTTGAGTCATGGTTTGGAGAAGTTCGGATCACATTCTGAGTTGGAATATTAGTTGCGAGAAAAACTAGTTTACAAAATGGGCTATGTCCAAAAGATGTATGAGTTTAATATTTTCAATTTTTTTTGTTACAAGAAAAACACAAATCTTGAGTAGTGTTATGTGTTAAGTAAAGTCCATGAAACGTAGAATTAATGGAACCTTTAAATTTGTAATGGTTGTAGTATGTTGATATGAAGATGAACTTGAACTTTTTGTCCATGAAAAATCATACAAAATGCTGTTAGTCGGTTATTATTTTTACCTAAACAACATCCATGATTTAAATTCCGAATGATGTTGATGTTTTTTTACAAAAATATTTTAGTCGTCACAGT